CAACTTATTGATCGACATTCAGCACTACAAACGTCGCATAAGGAAGATTCCGACCGCATTCCATTCACTCTCACGTTTCACCCTCACAACCACTCAGTTAAATCCATCATTCTTAAAAACTTTAAATTACTTCAAAACGATCCAGAGACAAGCACTATCTTTTCGCAGCCTCCGCTCATTTCATTCAAACGCGACAAAAACATAGGCAATTTTTTGGTCAGAAGTTCTTTTCAGACTAATGACCAACCAGGCACTTTTAAATGCGCTCGTGCACGATGCAAAACGTGTCCTTTCATTCACAACACTGATAAAATATCGGGACCTAAACGATCCATTAAGATCACCGATCACTTCACGTGCACCTCCGCCAATGTAATCTATTGCATAACTTGCACTTATTGCAAAAAGATATACATCGGCGAAACAGGCAGAAGACTAGGTGACCGATTCCGAGAACACCTTCGAGACGTGGAAAGGAATGACAAGGACACATCGAAACCAGTCGCTAGACATTTTAATTTACCTAATCATTCTAAGCAACATATGGCAATCTGCGGTCTCTCCTTGCACTTAGGTGGCACGGAAAGCCGTAAAAATCTTGAACAAAAGCTCATCTTTCAAACCGGCAGTCTAAATCCCACAGGGATCAACGAACGCTTTTCATTCCAATAACTTATTCATGTTTTTCTCGTTGCCATGCTCCCACCAGTAACGTAGCTCCATTTTCTGCCTTTAAAAGCACACCAAAACCAACAATTCCTCTATTCGCTCCGACGAAGGGCTAACGCTCCAAACGTCAGCTTTTGTAATCATTACGGTGGCCAGTTTACCATTTCAACTTTGTTGATATATCCAAATTATTTCGTTACCCCCACCGACGCAGCCTCAAACAGTTTCTTTCGAAACTATCAGCCTTTATTCTTAAGGAATTAATTGATGAAATCTTCCTTTTGTCACTCTATTGCTATTTTCATGTCTCTAACTTTGCAAGTAAAACTAGAAAGTTTTGTGTACATCTTAGTAAAGAATGGGGATTTAGAAGGCGAGGGTAGTTGTCAAAAGCCTTGCAGGGCTCAATTTGGGATTAGAACATAAAGTGCAAGTAACAGTTTTTAAATTATCAGGTTACTGCAAAATGTTTTGGGCTCAGCAAGACCAGTGCCATCTGGCTACTTGCCCCAGGGTGCTGGAGGGCAATGAGAATGCTTGTCACTTGACTTGTGGTTGCTCAAACCCTAACCCAACTGTAACCCTAACCTTAAACTGTAACCCTAACCCTAAATTGTAACCCTAACATCAAAGTACTGGAAAAAGGTCAATGGATTTCTGCAACCCCAACCCTAACCATTGGGTTAAGTGGAGACTCGCCATAGCTGTCTCCTGAGGGTGTCAAATACCTTAGTCGAGGGATTTTAATTTTTTTCATTATTTAATTTAACGTGAGTAGCTGTAGCCCCTTCCAAAGAGTCTTGTGTTTCGTCCACCTGAATTGTGTCGCTGGGAGCAAAGTTTGCACTCTGAAGCAATGGAGACAGCTGAAGCATGTTTGTCAAAATCACTAAAATATCTTTTTCCTCGTCCTTCCCCTTCCCTGGTCACATCTCAGCTTTTCCGTTTCCTCATATTTTTTTTTTCGCGTATTTCCTTGTCTAGCAATCTGCCGGCGCTAGTTCAACGCACTTAGCAGTAAGGAATTGTTAGAGGTACAAACGAAATAGAAAAACGCATAACACTGTCTGTTCACAAAACTTGTTTTAATCTACATATGTAAGAAAACAACTGGTAATTACTTCGGAACAATTGCGTAGATTTTTGGAGTTGTTACGTTTCATTTTACTGCCAAGAAACAACTCATAAGTAACAATACTGTCAACTTTACCAAGAACGTTTATCAAGTAACAAACTTGACTTGCGTGAGTCATACGTCGCCTAACAGAACGCCAAAGTAACGACATATGTAACTGCCTGTGACAGTCTGTTACGATTTTTTAAAAACTAAACTCTGTGTATAGATTTCAAATATTGCACTATGAATATAGACCTCTGTCAGACGGTTCGTAGTTCCCATTGTGTTCTTTCACAATTGCTTAAAACGCTTATTATGGACACTTAGCAGAGAAGTCGTACTGAGCAGCTGTGAAAGGCAACGTAGGTTAAAGTCGAAATGTTCATCATGACGCACTCTTCCCGGTATGTTGATGAGTTCTTGTAGTCGATAGGAATGTTGCTTAGTTCATGAGATTTCTAATCTCCTTGTGCATTTGGCAGAGGAAGTCCACATAGCTATGAGCTACGGGGTTAACACCTTTGTCTTCCACCAAGAAATGTTTGAACCATCCTTCGAGCTTGTCACGTTGTCGTACAACTGTTAGCTGAGGAGAAGCAGAAAAAAAAAGGAATGTTACATAATACTACATAAATACTACATAAACTGCAAGTCAAGAGTTTTCATTGACTTAGCCATCATGATACGTCCGAGCGTAAAAAAAACGAAGTTCTGTAAGTTACGGCAAGGACCGAGAAAATGAGGTTGGTACGATATTAATTATACCTGGGTTCAAGTAAAGGGGATATATTTCAATTAAAACACCTTTTTTAAATGTAGAAGGCCGGCCGGAAAGTGAAATATTGCCCACTCAATTGATCAATCATAGCTTACGTACTAACGGAGAGTTGTGATAAAGACTTAGATCAACCGTTTTCCCGAGATTCGTTTCACGTCATTCCTAGTGACTTGTAGACCGTCCATCACGTAGGAACTTTAGGAAACAAACGCAACAGCTTCGATCGTACCTTAAGATAATGCTGTCTCTGCTCCTGAATCAGTCGAATGATTTCATTTAAGCGAGTAGAGAGAGAATTTTCAAGGACTGGAAGTGAAGTCTGGCAAAAAAAAATAGTGACATAACACTAAAAATTAGTCTTTCACATGTCTTCCACCGGAGTTCAGTGTGCAAAATGGCGTTGAAGTATTTAGACTTAAAAATGCATTATCAATCATC